TTTTCATAATCAAAATATTTATATAAATAGCTCAAAAGTATTAATAATTCAAGCGACTAGGGTCATCAATCGTTACTCAAGGAGCTCGGATCAGAAGTTGCTCGATATAGATTGGATGACTGAAGGATGAATTGCACTATGCGTTGTCTGACTACGATTTAATCACACTGGTGATCACCCGCACGAGGATGAATGGTTGAGTGTTCAGACTACCAACTGGAAGTTTGCTGGTTTAAACATGCACTGAGCTTTGTGAGATGCACGCTAAGGATGATCCTCCGTGTGGATGAGAAAGCTGTATAGTGCTTGTAAGATTTTAGGCATAGAGTGGTTTCACTTATTTTACAAAATCTCAATTTAAAATCACACAACACAAATTGGTCATGGTTTATTGGTTTAGGGTGACAAGTTTATGTCGTATACTTGGTATCAAAAGCCGCGAATGATCTAGGTTACTGGGTACAAACAATCATTTTTTCGTCTTACAAAGTGCAGGCCAGGGATAAATTTCTTATGTACTGCTTGTTATTTTCTTCCACAGATGTTTCCAAAGCATGCGGTCTTACAGGCACTTAACTGTATAGCGTGCGTGTCTGCTAGTTAACTCAGCAACTTGTCTCATCTTCCCGTGTCCTCCATATGGGAAGCCTTGATTACCAGTAGCAAATTAATGTTACCCAAAAAACTTCCGGGAATTTGTTAGTGGGATTTGTCAGCCTGCAATCGCTCTGCAAAGAAATTGGAACACGCTTGCTTAGGGAATTTCCCCAGGTGTAATTTCACTGGCTTTCTAATCGACCTGTTTTTGCCAAGGCGCGTGTGCTGTAACTGTGGTGAGCAAAGCTGTTTTCTCTAAGTCTAACACTAAGTGGCACTGCATGTCATCTTAAAAAACGGACTGTGTTTCTCTTTGGGCCGAAAGAATAACGCCCCAGAGAGTCATACTCACATTTTGATCGTCACCTTGAAGCTCCATAAAATAACTGAGCACCACGCACCACGCCCAAAGTCTACGATCTGTTAAATCAACGGAGTGGACTTTGTTGCAGCTCGCACCTTCTGGTTAATGAGGATTTTTCACGGGTTTTGTGCCCATCAAATTGAAAAACGAATAGAAATTTAGTGGACAATAAATGATTGCCTCACCTAAGATACCTGAGTGCACCAAGTCATACGGAGACGAGGAAATGAGAGAAATCAATGTGAATTCAACGGTCTTGTCGAGGTTTGCCTACCAAACGTAGGTCTTAGCTCCTGACGTAAAACAGCTTGACGAACGTGTTTTTACAATCATTGCTCTTTTACCATTGATGTTGTTTGGATATGAAAATGTTCAGGAGTGAGGATTTAGAGATTTTTTTGAAATTTTGGAAGCTTTTCCTCATTACGTGTCCATGAATGCATGAGTGGACTTAAGAAATCCGGAAATAATCAACTTTTCTGAAAGTAGTCACTCCTGAGGGATTACTTTAAATCACTTTATTAGTTAGAGGAGTTTCTACTACACCTGTGTTTGCTTTGTTTCTATTCTATTCTATTTCCATCAATATGGCTGCAGTAGAAGTTCTTGCATTATGTTTTCGTCTAATCTGTCAACTGATCGTCTAGTCGTCATAACCACTTCACTTTTCAGGAGCTGGAGCAGAAAATGAGACAGTGAGCGTCCAACCAGCAAAGGTTTGTCAGGCAAATTCAAGGCTTTGCCCTTCTTTAACTGCAGGGTTCGTGTGATCTAATGTCTTCAGATTGCAAACTTTGCGTTCGTGCAATAAAGTAACTTGAACCATCACTTGTTCTCAAACTATGACGCGAACAGTTCGCTCAGGATTATGAACACTACAGCGAGGTTTTGCTCTGTTATGATTATCTGCACCGAATAACATGCTCTAATACACAACCACCTAACTGGAAATGAGTCTTTCAATGTGATTAATGGTTAATAGACCTCTCCTGGGACAAGTCCTGTCAAACAAACTGTCAGTCTGATATTTCTGAGCCCAATAGATGCGTCCAAACAAGAACAAATGAACCGATTGATTAAGAGCTTCGGAGTTTAGTCATAGATTTGCCGCAAATTTTCAGTACATTCATGAGGGTTCGGTTCACAAAAGACAGAGATACCCTTCATGAAGGAAACTACCCACAAGGTTGCTGAAAACTCTTCGGCAACTCACGATGGGTTTTGCCCTTCTTGAGGCTAATCAGGCAGGCATAGTTGTTAGCAACCTTGTGAGTAGTTTCATCCGTGGAATTATACCGCGATACCTGGAATATCGTGCCAACTGAAACATAAGGCGGCCTGTGTACAGCACATTCAGTTGAAGAATATCATAAACGAAACATTCAGTTAAGTCTCTTGCGAAAACCTAATTTAGTTGCAAATGAGTGTATTTATCGAAATAGAGATTGCCTCTTCATTTAACAAGGAATAGACGTATGCGGCTTCGGGTAGAACGGTCTGGATGAAAAGAAGGCATCAGGTGAGCTGACACGAGTCAAAGTTCAGGAATCTTGTCTGCTTGTGGGCGGAAAGTTTGTTGTTTCTACCTATTTCCTGTCATCTTGAAGATTGTGGCCAGGATCAGTCCAATGAGATTCGGATCGATAAATTTCAGCCATACAGGTAGAGTGGTCATCACAGACCGCTTAATGATAATCTGATGAAATTACACCAGAATTTCTAAGTAAACCTTATGTTTGATTTTGGATGAAAAGTTGGTCAATACAGTATCACACCGGTTCACACAATCGTTGTTAGACGGTTTGTCGAAATAAATTTATGCTTTCACTGTTGGAACGCTCTTCAAGCTCCGCTGAAATGCCAAGTGAAGAAGATTAAAAAAAGCCAGTTTATTGAGTAAATCCTGGAAATTCTGGATGGTGCTTGCTGAAAGAGGAAGTGTGTAGTTTTTGGGTGAGTAGACACACGATTTTCGTCTTTTTCAAATTCCACCTTCGCATTTTAACTAAGTCCAGTCCAGTCCAGATTTTGCTCGTGATTCTACAAGATGGAGAATGAGTTCATCGCATAAGTGGGTAGCAGTGAATAGTATATGGTTGATTATGGGAATCCAGGACTATTGCTTAGAACAGAAATCAGGAACGGTTTCTGAAGTGCTAAACATACGAATATGGACACCACCGAGCAAACGTAAAATGATCGAACGGTTTTGGTGTTCCAAGAGCCTATGATTCTGCGGAAGCTACAACTGCATGTCCATTTGTGCGGAGCCCAAATCTGCCCTGACTAATTAGCCATTTGGTCAATCAGTATCGTTCCCTCGAGGTTGCGCTGTCATTTCAATGCACCCAAACAATTTCAGTCAGAATTAGCGTGTTTGACGATTCAATTAGTCTGAGCAAGTGTTAAGCTGCCTTCAGCGGAGACGGCTGCCCAAGTTAGTCGTCAATAAGTATATGATAAAGTTTGAAATAGGACACCATAAAAAGTCGCAATTTTTCTGTTCATCAGTGCCTGACCTAAGCTGACTCCCTTTACGTTCAAAAATCCTACATAAAACATATAATAATTCACCGTGTGCACCAACGTTTTTAGCGGATGTACCATGTAAATTTTTTTCTGGGCAGCTTGATTGTCCAACGTCATGCTTAGTTCCTATCCGGTTGCTGTTAATCTCAGAATGGGTAGCCCAATATTCGAAGCGTCAGTTGAGACCTTCGGATCTCAATCAATAACTTTTCTGAAACTTGGATCATACAAGCTGTCTAATTTGGTGGTGCCCATTTATTGATATACGCAGAAGATATAACCATCAGAAAGACCATTTCGCCTTGGTTCCATAAGGCAATCAATTCATGACAAACCAGTTCGCACTGCTTTTTGATGTTGATTATCGTGCGCTGCTCTACCACACTACATACCACCCGTTAATACATCACGCTACCATACAATATTATGCATCCTGTCGAAACAGTCAATTACCTGTACCGAGAAATCTAATACAACTTCGCGTATTTGGAAGACTCGTTTGTTTTCTACCTTAAACCATCAAGCCACGTTAAGTTTTGTCGTAACGTGCTTTCATGTGATGTCGATCGACGTCCATCTGGAACTTTTCACAACTCCTGGGACGACGTCACATGATGTCTGATGGCTGGATTTTTCACTGAGCCTGGAAATTCTGTTGACAGTTTCGTCATCAGTCAAGGTGACTTCATCGGTGCATGGTGATGTAAAATTGGTGCACCGATGTGGAGGTCTCCACCAGTGCTGTGCTTATGTAGGCTCAGTTTCTTCTTTTTAAAAGTTACCTTTGATTACCAATTGTTTTTGGATGGTCCGTCGGACCACCTGACATTTAATTGTCCTGCATTCATTTAGACTTCATTCGCCCTCCAATGGGCATTGGTTCACTGGCTACAGGCTTACTCCAACTATTTGATATGTTCGTTTGCCGGCCGAGTTTCTAGACTGAGCTAATGGTCCTATACTCGTATAGATGGGTAAATTTGGTCCAACTCAAAACAATGTTTAAGTGGATTGGTCGTTCAATGCTTCGGTTGTGGAAAATTATTCTCTCTATCTAAGCGGCCTGATTATCATATTTCAAAATGGAATCGTTGGTACCGTATGTGAAAGGAAGGTACAACAAATGGTGCTTTTTACGCTTATGCTTGGTGTTTTGTGAGGTGCATTTCGTCTTAGTTTTTTAACAGAATGGTTTTTGCGTCTTGTGTGGTTCATCTGGTAGAAGAAATGGTTCCATTTACACCTAGGTTTGTCTTAGCATAGCTGCTCTGGTTTCTTACGTGAAGGAAATGCACAACGATCTTTAATTGCTTCACATGGAACTTGACGAAGTCCAGAAAATCTGGAAGGGATGTCAAAAAAGCCGAACTCAGGCGGTTCCAATTTGTCGGGTCTTTCTCCTTGTCGCACCGGTCGGACGTTGCTTTAGTGCCAGGTGAGTACTGTTAGTCTAATACAAGCGCACTGTTCTAAAGCAGTAAGGTAAATGTGTTCACTAAACTCATCTTACTTTGCAAGAGAGGAAATTCATTTGGCAGTTCCGGTGAGTGCTGCATGCATTCCTGTGGACCACCATACTTGGAGAGTAGATTGTAGGTCCACACATCCACTTGGCTTCTGAATTGCCAATAGCCTTCACAACCACCCGGATTCAAAGGCATTAGTGGATCAGGATATCTTAGGTTGACAATATGCTCATACCGTCGTGATATTTTCTGGTCCATGGTCTAAATTTCATTTCACTTCATTTTCAACCCATGCATCAGAAGCGTTCCGCATGTGCATCCAGCCATTGGCTTGCATAAAACCTCATAAAGGGGTACAACCGGTATAAACGTAATACACTACTTATAAGGTTGCCCACCTGTGATAATTGGAATAGTGGTAGGTATCTTAACTACCGAATGTACGCGTAGTATAGAAGTCCGAATATGGACGAATGAATATCGTACATTCTCGAATATCGCGGCTGTACAATCAATCGCATCGTAAAACAAAGGCATATAAAAACACACTAAACAGAATGAATATAATAGAGTCAATGTTCACCACATCCACCAGACGTTGAATGAGCGTGCGGGTATTTATAGCCTCTAATAGGTTGGAACCTCAAGCGTTCAGATCTTCTCAACGTCGGATTGTCAGGTTCAGTGTTTGATTCATGCTCATCAGAACCATCTGTCAGAGAATCAGAAAGGTCATTAGTGTTTGAAGCAACAGACGTATTGTCGCCAAACTGACCTCTAGCATTGAATTCGACCTGATCAACATGCCGTCTGTGACTTGAGAGATCTTCGAGGTCAAGAACAGTGACCATACGATTCCCGTTCCTCCCAATAACAACACCAGTAGATGGACGTAGATCGTTAACTTTGAAAAATGTTACGTCGGCAGTCCCAATGCATTCCAGGTTCGTGCGTAAGGATCTCGATTTGAATAGCCCTGCTGGACTCTTACCAGTAATTGAATGAGCAGCATTCCTGTACTGCATCAAGAAATTATCAATAACTCGATCAAGATCATGGAAAGTAACAGGCGAAATAGAATTGATGGCAGATTTCAAAGTTCGAACAAAATTTTCAGCAAGTCCATTAGACTGTGGATGACGGGGAGCAGTAAATAAATGA